AAGATACTGCAAAAGCTGCAGCACAGGAGAATTTGGGAGTGCTCTTGCATGAATCTTAGAAAGCCAGCATACAAGTTCAGCACAGACAGCATGGTGGCTCAGTGATTAGCATTGTTGCCTCACAGCACCAGGAACCTGCGTTTGATTCCAGCCTTGGGTGACTGTCTGTATGGAGTTTGCATGTTTTTCCCATGTCTGCATGGGTTTCCTCCGGGTGCTCCGGTTTCGTCCCACAGTCCATAGATGTGCAGGTTAGGTGGATTGGCCATGCTAAATTATCCAGGATTGTGCAGGCTAGGTGGATTAACCAGAGAAATTGCAAGATTACAGGAATAGGGTGGGGAGTAGTATGATGCTCTCAGAGGGTCGGCCTGGATTTGATGGACTGAATGGCCAACTTCCACACTGTAGAGATTCTATAATTCTATGAAGTTCGGTGAGTAATAAGGAAGGGAAATGGCATGTTGGTCTTAATTTCAAAAGGAATGGAGTATAAAACCAGAGTAGTTTTGTTAAACCTATACTAGGCACTGTTAAATGACAACTAAACCACTGTGAACAGTTTTGGTCCTCTTATCTAAGGAAAGATATACTGGCAAAGGATTAATGATGTAACCATGCAAAAGCGCCTACTAGGTGAAGCTCAACTGGACTTCAAACAGGTACCACAACTGACAGTATCATTGGAAAATGCAGCAAGTGGAGCATATGAGTTGCAGGGTATTCCAATGGAAGTGAAAACCTTCGCCAGTCTGACTGAGCTTAGGGAGCACCACTTCAGTGAAGGCAATTGCATAGCCTCACACAGCACATATCCTGAATAGAGGGACTTTAGGTCAGCCCACAACAAAATCCCAAACAAAGCCAAGCCTCAGCCAATAATTTTCTTCAGGGTCTGGGCTGGCAAGTAGTTAGTGCCAGTACGCGGACTCAAGACAGCAAAAGAGTCCCACGAGACATAAAGTGAGTAAGAGAACTCATAGGCCAGTATCCAGGAGAGTACACATTCTAGAAAGTCCACCTACATCTGGTTTGGAACAGTTAAATTACTTAGCAACATCCAAATCAGAACCAATCAAAATAAACATCTGGTTAAATGGTCATCTGGTTCAAATGGAGATCAATACCAACACTGCAGTTTTAGCGATCACAGAATCAATCTTTAACAAAATTCGCTCTGGACTCCAACCCTTAAGTTTGCTCACAACTTCGGCTAGACTGAGAACCTATACTGGAAACCATTACAGATTAAGGGTACAGCTTTGTTTCTGGTCTCTTATGGGAAACAGCTGGTTCAGTTGTCAGTAACTATTGTAAAAGGCTTGGGCCCAAGCTTGATGGGCAAAATTGGTTGAGAAAGGTTCACCGAGATTGGCTCAACATTTCTCGGTTAGAAAATGGCTGCCTAAGTGAAATCTTAATTAAATACGTGGACATTTTTCAGGGAGGGTAAGGGATTATTCAAGGACCCAAGGCTACCTTGCATTTTGACCAAGAAGCAATTCCATGATTCTACAATGTCTACCCAGTGCCTTTTGCCTTATGAGCAAAAGTAGAGGCAGAAATCAGCAGGCTGGAAAGTGAGGGAATCATCACACCAGTCTATTTTGTGGAAAGGGCAGCACTGATCATATCGATTGTGAAGCCTGGCGGGTCAGTTCGCCTTTGTGAGGATTTTAAACAAATAATAAACAGCTTTTCGCAGCTGAATAAATACCCAATCCCTCGAGTAGAGGATTTACATGCAAAGCTGGCAGGGAGGCTGTCCTTCACGAAGTTGGACATGAGCCGTGCATACTCACAATTGCACTTAGAGGAGGATTCCCAGAAGCATGCTACAATTAATACCCATAAAGGTTTGTACCAATATATGAAAATGTGGTATCATCAGCCTGTGCAATGTTTCAGCAGACAATGGAGATCATTTTATCAGGTTTACACCAGGTCACCATTTATCATTATGATGTGCTAATAACAAGGAAGACGAGTACAGAGCACTAGAGAACTTGGACATAGTCCTTAAACATTTCTTCCAGGCAGGAGTACACATTAGAAAGGAAAAATGTGCGATCCAGGCATCCCACGTGACCTGCTTGGGCTACAGAGTCAATAAGACCGGGTTACACCCATTGGAAGATAAAGTGAGGGCGATTAAAGGTGCTACTCAATGGGTCTTGCCATCTCTCACTGCCTCGCTCAGACTGCTCCCTTTTTGGTAAAAGAGAGAACAGGATGTTAGTGGGGCCTCTTTTGGAGTACTGTGTGCAGTTCTGGTCACCCTGTTATAGGAAGGATATTATTAAACTGTTTAGTAAAGATGTACCAGGATGTTGCCAGGAATGGAGGGTTTGAGTTATAAAAATAGGCTGGGACATTTTTTCACTGCAGCATCGGAGGTTCAGGGATGACCTTATAGAAGTTTGTAGAACATAGAACAGTACAGCACAGGAACAGGCCCTATGGCAAACAATGTTGTGCCGAACATGATGCTGAATTAAAATAATCCCTTCTGCCTGCCCTTGGTCCGTATCCCCCCTTTGCTTGCATATTCATGTGCTTATCTAAAGGCTCCCTAAATGCCCCTATCGTATCTGTCTCGACCACTACTCCTGGCAGTGCGTTCCAGATACTTAGTGCACTGTATAAAAAAAGCTTGCCACTCCCCTCTCCTTTGAACGTTCCCCCTCTCACCTTAGATGCATGCCCCCTAGCATTAGACATTTCAACTCAGGAAAAAAGATTCTGACTGTCAACCCCACCTATGCATCTCATAATTTTATAGACTTCTATCAAGTCTCCCCTCAGCCTCTGCTGCCGCAGAGAAAACTACCCTAGATTTTATAGCCTCTCCTTATAGCTCATATTGTATAAACTCTCCTCACAATTTTACCCCTTAAGTCCAGGTATAATTCTTACACTCTGTCCATGGCAAATATTCCTTCTCAAGATGTGTTGCCAAGATCTGTGCACAGCACACCATGTGGTATCTATGCTGGGTTTTGGATAACTAAAGCACAACTTCTGCATCCTTGGACTCCAATCCTCTAGATATAAAAGCCAACATTCGATTAACTTTCTTGATTATTTTCCGTAACTGTTTGTAATATTTTAAAGATGTGTGCGCCTGAACCTCCAAGTCTGTTTGGACATTACTGTATTAACCTTCACAGCATTGAGAAAGTACCTTGATTTATCCTTTGTCTGTCCAAAATGGTTAATGTCACACTTGTGTGTACTGAAATCCATCTCCCACAGTCTTGTTCATTCACACAGTCTATCAATTGCTCTTTGTAATTTTATGCTAGTATCTAACTGTCTACAACGCCACCTAACTTGGTGTGATCAACAAATTTTGATATATGACTTTCTATGCCATTATCCAGGTTGTCAATAAATCATTTGAATAAATGAGGTCCTAACACAGATACATGTGGGACACCACTGGTCATATCCTGCCAGTTTGAGTACCTACCCATTATCCTTACCTTCTATTACCTGCCACTCAACGAATTTCCCAGCCAAGTCCTCACATGCCCTCAATTTGTGGGCTTCTACCTCAGTTAACAGTCTCTAATGTGGGACTTTAACAATGCCTTCTGGAGGTTAATATCAATAACACCCACAGACATTCCCCCATCCAGTACCTGAGTCACCTCTTCAAAAAATTCAATGAGGTTTGTCAGGCATAACCTACCTGGCTGGCTCTCCCTGATCTGCTGAATTTTTTTTGACATGTTCATTAACCCCCATCCTTGATTATACAGTCCAATAATTTCCCACCACAGATGTTAGGCTAACTGGTCTGTAATTCCATGGTTTTTCTCTTTTGTCCTTGAAAAAGGCACCATCGCGATAGATGGAGTACTGTTCCCATATGCAATTTTCCAATCTGGAGGGATAACTCTATTTAGGGAACTCTGAGAGATTATAGTTAGTGCCTTACAAATTGTTCCCCTACTTTCTTTAACACCCTCGATAGGAACCATCAGGTCCTGGAGATCTGACACTCTTTCGTTCAATAAAGTTCCTTATTATCAATGCTCTACTTATGTTAATTTTATTCAGTCCCTGTCCTGATCTACTATTACGTTTCTCAGGACATCCAGCAAGCTATCCTATTTTTCTGCTGTAAATACTGAGGCATAGCAATTATTCAGCAGGTCTGTCACCTTCCCATTGTCATTGGAAAGATGATGTGGAGGTGCCGGTGTTGGACTGGGGTGAACAAAGTCAGAAGTCATTCGACAACAGGTTCACCTGACCAAGGAGCAGTGCTCAGAAAGCTTGTCTATTTAAGTTAAATGGGCGTTTTACAAGTACGTATACAGTTGGACAACAAAAAGTGGGACTGTCAAACTGATGAAGAACTGATGCAGTAAGCTTCATCTGAGGATTTAATGCCGGGAATTTCTCGAAGTGCAGGGCTGACCCCACCCCGTACGACCACGTCCTCTTCCCACCACTACGCTCCCTGTAAACTCCGCCCGCTGCACCCACCATGTAGATCACGCCCTACATTTTACAGTCCGCCCTCTAGCCGTCCCTGCCCATTCCCCTGACACCCAGGCTGCAAACACTTGCCACCCCCTCACCACCTCTTCCCGCCCTCATGTATCTAGGCCCTGCCTCCATTCAACTGCCATAAGGGGTTTAACAGACAATCCGCTCCCACAACTCCAAACTTTGCTTTTGGAGAGACCTGCTTCTCCCACCGAACTACCACCCCCACCTCAAAACTCACGGCCGGCCCCATAACCAAGACCCCACCTCCAGCTTCATCAACCCGCCTACTGAGCATTAACCCCTTGAAGCCTTCTTCCAGGCCGTCTCCACTAACCCAAGAAAATAAAAACCGAAAGAACTGCGGATGCTGTACATCAGAGTAAAAATAGAAACTGCTGGAACAGCTCAGCAGGTCTGGCAGCATCTGTAAAGAGAAATCAGGGAAAAGGTTTCGGGTGGAGTGACCAGTTTTTGCCCGCTGACCCAAGTCCTGGCCGCAGTGACCGACGAGATGGTTGGACTACAGATCCCATGAGGCTGTGCACCTCGGCACAAGCGCAGTGTGTGTGCGGTGCTGAGTTTAGGCCGGAGGGATGGAGAGTGAGGGGAAGGGGCAGTGGATTGAGGCGGCCCAGTCTGGGGGCATTGAGAGTACGGCGCGGATGGCCACTGGTACTGAGAAAGTGGGGCACGGACGGAGCAGGAAACGGATCTTGGATGAGGAAACATACATCGGGGTAGGCGACAGGGTTAAAGGTCAAACCCCGGGGATATCCATCCGTCTTACCCCCTCACTCACTCGTTCTCTCCTTCATCTTTGTCCTGCCCCACCCCCTTGTCCTCTCCCCTTCCTGACCCCACTTGCGTTCTGCCGCTACAACCCCTCCGTCTTGACATCCCCCACCTCTCCCTTTTCGTTCTCTCCACTCCCTCCCATCTTTTTTCCTTGATGTGCTATGTGTTATCTTTTAGTTTCCTCCGATTTCCTGCTGATTATGATCGTACAAAGTCAGAGCAGGATCCGATCTATCGAGCCTGCTGTGCTAGTTAATATATTCACGATTGACCTACGGCTTCAACATTCGTCCACCCGCCATATCCTTGATTCCTTGAGACACCAAATCCTTTTCATCTTGGCCTTAAATAAATGAACCATGCACAGCTCTCTGGAGTAGGGAATTCCAAAGAATTGCATCCCTCGGAGTGAAGACATTTCTCGTCATTTCGAGTTCTAAATGATCAGCTTCTGAAACAGTCCCCCTTTATTCTCGATCGCTGTCCACAGCTACAAACTGTGTGTATCTCATGTCAAGCCTCTTGAGAAAGTTGAGAAGGCATGCTTATTGACACATACGAGGTTCTGAGAGAAGTTGACAGGGTTGATAGGATGTTTCCCTCATGGGAGCATCAAAAACGGGGGGGGGAACTGTTTTTAAAAAAATGAGTTTCACATTTCAGACGGAGTTGAGGATTTTTTTTCCTCAATGGGTCATGAGTCTTTGGAATTCTCTTCCTTGGTGCACAATAGAGGCTGCCAAGGCTGAGTCTTCAACAAGGGATTTGAGGTTTATGAGTGGGGGAGGGAAATGGTCAGGCTACAATCAGATCAGCCATGACCACCCGGAATGGCAGAGCAGGATGAGAAGCCAAATGGCTGATTCCTGCTCTTGTTTCTTATCACAGTGTATTTTCAGTGACCTCCCATTCTTCTAAGCCGTATTGCCCCAATTTACTTGGCCTCTCATCACAGGGCTGCCTTGCCATCCCAATCTAGTGAATCTTCTCTATTCCTCTTGTGATAAAATTATATCCTGGAATATGGATGCCAAAGCTGCATACAATGTTCCAAGTGTGGTCTTATCAAAGCCATGTATAATTGGAACAAAATATCCTTATTCTTGTACTCCACTCCCCAGCAATAAAGCTTAATATGCTATTTGTGTTCTAATTGCTGAACCTGCTTACTACCTTTGTATTGCTTGTATGAGTAATCTTGCAAGAATTCTTAGGGATTGGTACTTAAATATTTGTTAATGCTGTAAAGAGCCATGGGAGAAAAAGACATTTAGGTAGATGATCAGCCATGATTGAATTGAAGAGGGTAACTAGGGAAAGGGTAGGTCCTCTCAAGGACAAAGGAAGGAATATATGCATGGAGCCAGAGGGATTGGGTGAATTCCTTAATGATACTTCATATCAGTATTCACCAAGGTAAAGTAAATGTTTTGTGGCAAATGTTTTGTTCTCAAGCATGTCAATTTTAAGAAAGAAGAGGTGTTGTGTGCCTTGAAAAGTGTTAAGGTAGGTAAGTCCCCAGTCGCAAAATACTGAGGAAGACAAGGGAAGAGATTACTGGGGCCTCGACAGAGATCTTTGTTTCCTTTTTAGCCACATGCAAAGTCTCAGAAGACTGGAGAAGAGCTAATGTTGTTCCTTTGTTTAAGAAGGGTAACAGGGATAATCTAGGAAATTATAGGCATGTAAGCCTTACATAAGAGATAGAGAAATTATTGGTGAAGATTCTTAGGGACAGGATTTACTTGCATATAGAAAAGAATGGACTTATTAGATAGACAGCATGGCTTTGTGCAGGTTAGGTCTTGTTTCACAAATTTGATTGAGTTTTTTGAAATGATGAAGATGATTGAGGGTAGGGCAGTGGATGTTGAATTTTTTTTAATGAGGATTTTTTTTTCAGAGGATAATGAATGTATTCTGACTGTGACCTCCAGGACTGGTGAGTAGTGTTTTACGAGGATCAGTGCTGGGGTGGCTGTTGTTTGTAATTTATATAAATGACTTGGATGAAAATTTCAGTGGTCTAATTAGTAAGTTTGCAGATGACACAAAAATTGGTGGTGCTGTGGATAGTAAGGAAGGTTGACAAAGGATATGGCAGGGTTTAGTTAGCTGGAAAGTTTAGCAGAGAAAGGCAGTTGGAGACAAGAGTGAGATGATGCGTTTTGGGAGTTGAAATGCAGGAGGGAAGTACCCTTAGGAGAGAGATCTTGAGATACCTCCCTGAAAGTAGCAGGAAGAGTGGATATGGTGATAAAGCAGTTGTAAGGCATGCTTGCCTTCATCATTTGGGGCACTGAGTAAAAAAGTTAGCAAGTCACATTGCAGCTGTGTAAGACTTTAGTTAGACCACATTTGGATAATTCTTTGCAGCACTGGATGTCACACTATAGGAATGGAGGCTTTGGAGAGGGTGCAAAAGAGGTTGGAAAATAAGGTGCGTAAAGGATGCAAAACCAGGATGTGGCCTGAATTACCTATCAGGAGAGGCCGGACAAACTTGGATTGTTTTGACTGGAGGGTCGGAGGCTGAGGGGTGACACCTGACAGAAGTATGAGAGGCGTGGACAGAGTAATATTCAGAGTCTCTTTCCCATGGTGGAAATGCCAAATAGTAGGGGCGGGGTAGCGTGCATAGGTTTAAAGTGAAAGGAAGAAAGTATTTTTGCAACAGAGGGTAGTAGGTGCCTGGAACGTGCTGCCAGGGGATGTGGTAGAAGCAGATATGATAACAACATTTAAGAGTCACTTCGACAGAACAGGCAGAAGACAGAACAGAAGAATATGGATCATGTGCAGCCAGATCAGATTAGTTTAGAATGGCTTTATGGTTGGCACAGACATATGCTGCGCTATGTTCTAAATGGTGAAACAAGCTTGATGGGCACACTGGCTGTAGATTGATGAGTCCCCTGGACTTGATGGGTTGCATCCTAGGGTATTAAAGGAAATAGCTACAGAGATAGTGGATGTAGCAGTAGTGATCTTTCTAGAAGCCTTTGATTCTGGAAAAGTCCCAGAGGACTGAAAAACTGAGAATATAACATCCTTAGTTAAAAAAAGGTTGGTTAGCTCAGTTGGCTGGATGGATCATTTGCAATGCAGAATGTTGCCAACAGCATGGTGATCGTCAGGCTAAACTACCATCAGTTCTTCTGGCCTGATTGAACTATGGGAGTCTAAAAGGGTAGGGATGCAACAAAAAACAGGTAACTGTAGGCCAGGGATAACAAGGCGTAGAGCTGGATGGACACAGCAGGCCAAGCAGCATCAGAGGAGCAGGAAGGCTGATGTTTTGGGCCTAGACCCTTCTTCAGAAAACTGGTCTTGGTCTGCTGTGTTCACCCAGTTCTACACCTTGTTATCTCAGATTCTCCAGCATCTGCAGTTCTTACTACAACTGTAGGCCAGCTAGCTTAACATCTATCATTGGGAAAATGTTCGCCAATTACAAAGGATGTAATTGCAGTTCATTTAAACGTACATAATATAATCAAGCAGTGAAAAAAATGGCTTCACAAAGGGGAAAATCTTGCCTAACAAGTTTATTAGAATTCTTCAAAAAGGTAACAAGGAGGACAGGTAGAGGGGAACCAGTAGATGAAATATATTTGGATTTTCTAAAGGCATTTGATAAAATGTGTTGGAGTTGTATGTTAGGATGGATACAAGATTGGCTGATTAATGGAAGACTGAGAGTTGGGGTAATGGAGGCAGTTTCAGCATGACTGTAACCTGTAGAATGTCATAAGGTGAGTGATAGGGCCACAGTTATTTTCAATATATATTTATAACTTGGATGAGGGAAGTGAATGTACTGTAGCCAAGTTTCTGGATGACGAACAAATAGGTGAGTAAGCAAATGGTGACAATGACACGGAGGATCTGTAGAGAGATGTGGAGTATTTAAGTGAGTAGGCAGAAACTTGGCAGAGGGAATATAATATAGGAAATGTGAAATTATGTACTTTGGTAGGAAGAATAGCGGTGCTGAATGTCATTTAAATGGAGAAAAACTGCAGAAAATTGCAGCACAGGATTTGAGGGTCCTTGTGCATAAATCACAAACAACTAGTATGCGGTTTTAGCAGGTAATAGAGAAGGCAGATTGAAAAGTGACCTTTACTTCAAAAGAGTATAGAAATAAGGAAGTTTTCCTAAAACTATCCAAGGCATTAGGTAGATCACACCTAGAATACTGTGAAGAGTTTTGGTCCTCTTACCTAAGCAATGATATATATAGGCATTGGAGGCAGTCCAGAGAAGAATCAATAGGAATATTCCCAATAGTGAGGACTTTTTTGATTGTGAGAGGTTAACTAAATTGGACCCATTGGAGTTTAGAAGAATGGGAAAAAATTTATTGATAAGATTCTTAGGTGACTTGACGGGGTAGACACTGTGTAAATGATGTGTAGATGATGTTTCGCCTTGTAGGAGATTCTAGGACCAGAGGGTGCTATCTCAGAGTAAGGGGTTGCCTTCATTTGGTCAGGGACATTTCTAGTATTTAAGAATGCATGGAAGGAGGCTCATTGTATTATGCAGCCATGGAAGAGACTGAAATTTACATTTCGAATACATCATCGCTTTCTTCACTTTGCATGCTGGTTGTCACAGTGTGTGCAGTTAACTTCTTTTGACTCAGCGTTTGCATAGCTGGTGAATGGTGTGAAGTTGTTTAGAACTTGCTTAGAATAGAGATGAGAAATTTTTTTTGAGAGTGTAGTGAATCTGTGAATTTTTTTTAACCAAGGAGGGCTTCCGAGGCTGGTTCAAAAAGCATATTTAAGGCTGAGAGAGACAGATTTTTTAAAATCCAGATATAAAGGGTTATGGGGAAAAGGTTGGAAAGTAGAGTTAAAATTAAGAGATGAGCCATGATCTTATTGAATAGCAGATGGGCAAAATGACCTACTTCTGCATTTACATCTTATCA